TACACAGCACCTCCCTATGGGCAACCTCAGCCTGGTTTTGGGTACAGCATGTAAGGTGCAGCGCAAGTCAGTCTGGAGCTAGCATATTTTCTTACTGAAACTCCACCGTCCCTCCCCGCTTTAACTCATAACAGGGAAAAGCAAGAGTTCTGCCTCGTGTTCTTGTAACCTTTATTTCATGAAGGACTGTTTTTTCTAGCGCAAACTATTTGAATCACTTATGTTAAATCTCTTTCACATTCCATGTCATTTAGACTTTACTTTAAAAGGGGAATAGTTTAAACAACTTTGTTCAAGTGGGCTTTTGCAGGACTGCTTATTACCATTAAGTCTATTGTGAAGATTCTGATTTGCACTCTATAGTGTTAAACTCTAATATTGAATCTTAAGTTCATTGTATGTGAGCAGCTTACAGTACGTACTGTCTATTCTAAATGCATTTAAGTCTCACTGTATATTCGGAGAAAGCTAAAGCGAAGATACTTGTATTTGACCTTGCAAGACTGCTGACAAGAGACAACACTAATCAGCATATCCTTCCCTGGTTGGATTGCATAGCTCTAAAAATTTAAAAGTGCGTACAGACAACCTTGCCTGACTTCAAATGAGCAAAGTTTTTCCTTAACCTATGCAGGTTTCTCCAGTTATGCATATAGAAAATGCTAGTGTCTTTTTGCTCACTCCATATGTAACAGATGACCTTATGTTGTGCTGTATCCTGTGCTTTTGTGGGACATTCCATTCAGGAACAGAGCACCATGATTCCAATCTGTGTATTTACTAACCCTGCCCTGAGGTTTGTGTATGTTGGATATTGTGGTGTTTTAGATCACTGTTTTGAGTGTACAGAAGAGAGAATTCAAGCATATTGCTGTTCAGTTTTGTTTGTGCAATTTGAAATTACGCAATTTAAAAATAAATTACTGGACTGTGGACATGCTGCATAGTGGTAGCTTTACTTTTCTGTCTTGAAAAAGAACCTTCCAACTCCAACCAAGTATTACAGTGCTAGAAGTAGGAGGCATCCAAGTGCATACCTTCAAGGGGATAAGGGGCTGTTAGAATAGCAGCAATGGAGAGGACCAGTAACGGTGTCTTGCACTGAGGGGACGATTCAAGGAAAATATGTAATGCTTTTTCTAGAGAAAGATTATGCCAGACAGGAGAAAATAGCACTTTTCAATGGTTGGCTGCAGTGTAGTCAACTACTGCATCTGTGACCGGATGATATATTAGGATGGTGGTAGGGTGTGTCAGTTAAATTGAGATCATGTTCTAGGTGTGTAAGTTGCCTTAAAATATATTTAGCTTCAAATAAAATTGACTTAAATGTTTGTCCATGGATACTGTCATATTTGAGTGTAACAAATATTACAGGACTGTCCATACTGGTAATGGTTCCAGCCTTCTTAGCCAGGAGCCATCAGCCATCTTCAATGACAGGTTCCAGCTTTGCAGGCAAATCCCCTTTCTGCTTGCTCATGGGGGCTCCACGCTTGTTTTACGTGATCCTGGCGGTGGTGGTTGCAGGCATCTAACATGGCAGAACATGTAGGGGGCCTAACGTGCCACTGGATAGATCTAGTGCTGCTTTTCCTAAATGAGCTGCACTACCTAGAGTTGGAGTAGGAAGCACCAAATGTTCTCTTTGTGCTTAGTGGTTTTGGATCTCCCTGTAGCTGACAGGGAAGAGGGCCAGGTATGATCTTAACTGATCAAGAGTTTTGCAGATGGTGGCCCTCCTTGAGGAAGGCAGGTGACTTCTGACCTGTGGCAGGGGCACCAAGGGCTATTTTTCTTTCCGCTCTAAACAGGAGGCCAAATGACCGTGCCCTTCTACCTGGGATGAGCTAACTGCAAGATACTAGTACTGCTTCCCCCTCCCTTAATCTTCATGGAGACTCTGGTCATTAATTCAATTGCAAGTTAAATTTTTTTTTCTTTTTTCCCCAGGAGTGAGCTAGAGCAAAAGCTTGCAGGGAGTAGTGTCAGTCTTCATAAAAATCTTAAGTCTGAATAAGAGGTGTAACGTACAAATTCCCTCTCTACTCTTTGTATGTAAAACACTGGCATTTCAGCATTCCCCCAGTGTTCAGTCTGGGTTTGTGAATTTGGCGGACAAACCTTTCAGGCAATTCTTAGTACAGTTGCATTCCCATGAACTATGTTGTAAGAGAGGACAAAAGGAAGATTTGTCTGAGAGGCTGTAAAATGAGCGAGTTCAACAGCAGAATTCTTTAAAATTCTTCTTTAACTTTTTTGTTAAACTGTTACCAATAGAAACCCCCATCCAATTAGACAGGTCTAACTTGCCTTTTACAGTATCAGAGCTAAAATGGAGCTACAAGAGTAGCATCTACCCATCAGAAAACAAGACACTAAACACCACTGACTGTACATCAGGGTGAGCTGAACTCTGTCCAGTAACTTCTATATGTGAGTGTTTCCTTAAACCTTCCTTAGACCAAAGTCAAACAGGATGCAAGTTGGTTCCTACATGTCAAGCTGCTTCATATGTATGGGCAACTTCCTTATACCCTTATCTAAATGGGAACATTGATTGACCTGCTTGCAAATTTCTGCAAATAAAGTAGCTGCCTGAACACATCCAGAAGGAAGCACGGCTTGCACCTTCCCTCCAGAATTGTTTACTTGTTCTTAACCACGGGACTATAACTCTAGTTAAACTTGTTCAGTCTCTTACTGGTTACATGCTATTGCATCAGTTACCATATTAACAACTGTTTGTGTAGGCAGTAAGTTAGCTCCATCTATCCCCCTTTGTATTGGCACAATTCTTAACTGCTTTAGCAGCTAACCTAGCAAGTTAAAGAATGCATTAAAAAAAAAAAAAACCCTCATGGAAGGTTGGGGGGAGCCTATCAATATAGCTCATGAGAAAGTCACCTGCACTTCCCTAATATTTCTATTTGGCCAGCAAACCAGACAGTGTAAGATCTTTAATCATTTACACAATACAAAAAATAATAGGTTCCTTTTTAGTACAGGTAGTAACATCCTGCCAGTTCTACTCTTCTCAACTTGAGGCCTAGCATTTTCTTTCCCACTTTAGAAAGCAATATTGAAGATAAAGAAACTTATGAATGGCATTAATATTAAACTTTGTGAACTTGCATCTTATAACAAGTGGCTTTACTCAAAGGGTGTACCTTACTTATACTGAGAGAGCATCTGGAGAAAGAAAACCTGCAAACTTGGATTTTATTCTTTTGGTATTGTTGTATACTGTTACATTCACATTTCTTTGGTCCCTAGTTTAGAAGAGTTTCAGATGACCAGAAACTTTATCTATTATATCAGCTGGTCCTGGTCCGATACCAAGGACAGTTCTGGAACCTGGTGCTATTTGAGTACGGCCTGCATCTTGTATTAAACTCACTGTCAGTCCTAGCTGTTTAGCATCAGCAAGGAGCTGGATGAGAGTCTCTTCATCAGGAGCCTTGAGCACCACCTTAGGTTGTCCGCAGTACTCCCACTGTTTAAGGAGTTCAGGATTTCTTCTTTGAACTTGCTTGTAGGCAGAAACAGCAGCATGAGAACACTGCGCAGCTACTTTACCCTTTCCCATCTTCAAATCGTTACGGACAATCAGCACCATCTTGAACTCCCCAGACTCTCCCATGATGTTAGCTTCACTCCCCAGCTCATTTGGGGCTGCGGTCACCCTGGCTTTGGGCTGTTTTAGAAGTCTCCCGCGAATGCCCCATCCCAGGCATACTCCACATGCAACTCCAGCAATGACACTGAGGAGACCAGGCTTGGAAAGATAATCCATAGTGATGGATTTTGGAGACTGCTAGGGGAGTGGGGGGAGACAGAATTTATACTCTAGAGTTTTTCAGCTTCTGAAAGTGAGATTCTGAGGTCTGAAGTTCCAGGAGTACCTGGTTATTTATAAACAAACAAAAATTGTTAAGAAAAAGAAAGAGCTATTCCAGTTTCATGCATTGAGAAAGGATGCCCAGACACATCTTTGGTGTCTGAGGCCTTTTCCACCTTTCATGCTGACAGATTTAATTTCTACCCACAAAAATGCCACTGGTGGTGATGCATCATCCTACCAGCGATGCTCCTACTTAGGAATTTCAAGTAGAAGAAAATCAACCAACCAACCCACCCACCCACCCCACGGTTTACTTGAAAGCAACGCCCAGACAAACGAGAGAAGCAGTAGAGCAGATTTTT